TCAACACCACTCATGAGTGCTGCCAGGACTGATCTCTGAGCACAGAGTAAGCTCTGCCGTGGCCCCAAAACCAACCAAACAAAAACCTAGTAATGGTTAAACAAAAATCAAAGTCCACGTCATTTCTTCAAAACAATTCTGAGAGTATGTCCGCAGCGATGTCAAGGCCGTTTCCTCAAACTCCAAGGAGCATCAGACAGAGCCACTGTTTCCTCTGCCGTCAGCACATCTCCTGCTCTGCTCAGGACCACCGAGGACGGCATAAGCCTTCAGGTTCCCGTGTGCTAGTTGGGGACCCAGCAGGCTCTCTCTTCCTGAGTCCCAGTGACCTCTGTGAGCATCGTTTAGAGTGAGATACAGCCCAAGATGAGGCTTTGACTCCAATTCCAGCCCCAGCTCATCTTTTATCAGACACAGCTGGGCCATGGTCACCTGAGGCACCTGGAATTTCCTGGGGGGGGGGGGGGGTCATGTTACAGCCTTGTCCAGTCCTCTGCCAGCTCTGCCCAGGACATATCAGGTATAGGTGGGCAGGACCCCTCCCGCTCAGGCCTGGGCTTCCAAGCCATGACCCAACCTCACCTTATCTTAAGGATTGCTCCATTGTTACTTCAGTGTCTTCTTTCTAAGCCTAAGTCAAGCTTAATTTTTCTTGCAGGTTCACAGGGACTTGGGAAATTTCATCATGCATCACAGGTTAAGGTCCATGAACAACTCATTCATTCATTCACTCATAAAACCATTCACTCACTGAGGGAAGCGTTCGGTGGGTGCAAGAAGCAACCCTCTTCCTCAGGGGATGACCAGGACTCCATTTCCCCACGTCAAAGGCAGAATACCTGCCTCAACCTCAAATAAAGGATCACCCAGAGACTGAAATGAGAAGTAGACGCAGGACTCATATGTTTATTCAGTGTATCTGTAGATATAGAAGATAGTTGGAACCAAGAAATTAAGAAAATTTCCCATGAGAGTCTCGGATGCCCACCGGAAGGATGGTCTATGGTTCAGATTAAAATATGACTTCAGAGTCTCTTATGAGAACATGGAACTCCACACATGATTCCTGAGCCCTTCCCAGGGGTCTGTCCTGCGCTCTACAGTGGGCAGTAAAGGCAGTAACTGATTTGGATTCTTCCAAATCATAAACCAGGACCAGAGACACACTGCTGGCTGTTAACCATGGGTACTAATAAAGATCAGATCGTTCTCACAGGTCCCTCTGAGTCTGGCCCATGGTGGAGGGTAGACCGAGTGGGTTTAAACCCATAGACTTCCAGGAAAGACAGGCCTGGGTTGCATCCTACCCTGCCTCGAGCTCACTAGTGACCATGGGCAAGTTTCTTATCTGAGCTGCTCTCGTGAACAAGGTGCACAAAGGCCCCGAACTGTCTTTTTGTCGGTTGGAGGACTGAGAAAAATGACGAGATAGAGGCTGCTTAGAGCAGACCCCAAGCTAGGACAAGGTGGAACCTCCAGTGTGTCCCCCAGGTTTTGGGCTTGCTCCCATGCTTGAAAGATACTGATGTGTCCTGGAACATAAAGGCAGCAAAGCACATATTGGATGGAGACGCAGAAGTGGCCCGGACCCGATCCTAGCCCCTCTCTGCAAAGTTCCCTCTCCGGAGGGCTCCGCTCCAAGGAGTCCAGCTGGGTGCATGTGGCTGGGGAGATTAAATTATTTTTGAATTCCTAACTGAATGTTCTTTTAATGGAAACTTAATGACAGGCATTGAAATAGATTTCCTCCACTCGCCGCCTCCTGCAGCCCCTTCCCCTGCCTCTGTGTGGCTCGGTTCCCGATAACCTTTGTTCCCTACCCCTGGACTTTTATCTCCCCAGTGACAAACAGCCCTTGCTGGACAGAAAGAGGAAATTCCAGTCATTGTTCTTCAACTTCTGGCTTCCAAAATAAAATGCTCTATCTCCCCTTTCAAGCTTTGATTGACATACACTTCCTGTCGTGGCTCGTGGCCCAGGGGCGGTTCAGGGGCTCATTTGCATTCTGGGCATCTGTGTTTTCCATAAGTTTTGTTCTAGGTAGGGAAGAACTTCCACGCTCTTCCTGAAGCTCTTTCCCCATCATCCTGTTCAGAGATCCCATGCCAAAGTGTTGATGGGCCTCTTCAGCCATCCCCACAACCCACCAGCAATTCTTTCCTGCCCTGATCTACGCCATTAGCCCTGGAAACAGTCATCTGCTGTGGAGGCCCTTGAGAATCTGGAGGGAGCCCTTTTCAGATCTTCGCTCATATCTTCACTCTCAATATTGGAACCTGAGCCCCATCCAAATCCTCAAACCTCAGTCCTAAGTCAGGATCCCAGTCTCCAGGTTAAGATCCCCAGAGCCACGGAGATAAATGAGCATCTCCAGGGAAATCGGTACCAAGGAAAACTCTGAGCGTGGTAATATGTCATACAGGATGCAGTTATCCTCGAAAGAGATAGATGATGTTGACTTGCTTTTGAAATGAAGAATCACAAAATATAATAACCTGCCCTTCTGTTGCAAGCATGATCTGATGAGCTCAAGTCTTACTGGGCGTAAGTCACTGCTTTGGAAAGAGAAAGCGTGCATTCAACAGTGGTTGGCATTAGCATCTAAGTGAGTGGCTTTCTGGAACCTTCTGTTTCTCCTTTCCTTCTTTCTTTCTTTCTCTTTTCTTTTTTTTCTTTTTTTATATTTTGCTTACTTCACTCTTTATTCATTCACTCCGGGTTTTATTTTTTTACTTACTTTATCCTTTATTCATTCACTTCGGGTTCACCCCTTAGGATTTAGGATTATCGAGAAGTTTAGGAAATTGCTTCCCAGGGCTTTTATTGGAGGTAAGAATTTCAAGGGAGGCTAGAGGTTCAACGGCAACTGGCAGTAAAAAGAAGTCTCAGAGCTGAAGGTTTTAGGATTGGAATAAAGGGGTATTTAGAAGTAGACGCGCTTCTGCCAATTCACCCAGAAACAAGCACTCATCAGGAAGATGCTCAGTTCACTCAACAGTACACAGAAATGAATGGAAAATGGTATTTTACTTCCAGCAGAACAGACCAAAAGGGATGTGCTCTGATAAGCATGACCTGAGTGGGTACGTTTCCCCGCCCATAGCTAAAGTGACTTCAGGGTCAGTGAAGCTCATGGCAGTGTCCCAGTTGAGAGGGCTGGCTCCCTCTGGCTCCTGGGGCTTGATTTCCTGGAGCTTGGTCGGTAGATTAAATTATGATGCCTGCTCACTAGTAAATAATCTCCTATGCAGGCCAGCTGTATCCGCTGTCATGGCCATTAGCAAAGCCCATATTAGCGCATCACTGGCCTCAGAGAGAAAGGTCTGGGTGTATGCAGGCATCTATGCAAACTCAACCCTGAGCCTAGAAAAACAAAGCATCCCTGCAAACAGCTCTCACTGTAGGTGCCAAGACTCTAGCTGGCACGATCTTTGCCCAAGCTGAACAGGAAGGGGAGTGTTGGAGGGAGAGTATTTCCTCCGGGAAAGCAGGACCACAGAAGGGTCCTCTTTGTCCCCCTTCACTAAAAGTATCCCCACCCCGCCTCCCACATCTGTCTATCACAATGAAAGCACAACATAGATATTTTTGGAAAGTGTGTGCAGAGTTTCCGAGATTTAATACATGAATCAATTCACAGAAAACATTTTGATTCCTAAGCAGCTTGGAGGACCCTCTTTTCCAAAACACATTCAGAAAACCTAGGTGGGGCATGGAAGAACATTCACAGTAGGGCTTCCCTGCAGACCAGCCTCCATCAGGGTCAGACTCTTTCCTAAGAAGGTGCACTGGTTCCTGGGAAAGGAAGACTGAGCACTCTCCTCTCCAGGGCTCATATCTATTCCATTTTCTTTCCCGGGACACAGAATTTCAGGCACACATGCATACCAAAATGCCTCTAAAGATAGACTTTTTCTCAGGAGCATGCAGGGAAGTTTCCCAGCTAACCTCACTTGACTTCTTCAAATTTCCATTGTCTTCTTGGAAGAGGAGGAATTCCTCTTCTTTCAGGTGGGTGGCTGTTTATCTCATCAATATCAACACCGTGGCACAGTGACAGGCTTCTTGAAAGAAGGTGTTCATCGTAAGCCTGGAGAGGTGGCTGAGGCTGCATCAGCGTGAACCCCATGAAAGTGCTTGGGTGACCAGGTGTCCAGATGCTCCATAAAGCAGAAGGGCTCTGGACTCTTCCCCATGTTGAATCCGAGGCATGCAGAGTCAGTGATCCTGGCCTTTCCTTGCTCCTCTGGAAACAGCTTCATGCAGACCAAGTGGAAGTTCCAAGGATCTCAGTCTGAGAAAGCCAGAGTTTCTTGTATGTTGAGTAACCGTCTTTTCTGATTGCCTTTGATTGGTTTAATTCTCCCTATTCTGAAGACCATTTAACCATTCCCTCTGAGAAAAGGTAATGTTAAAATAAAAGTGACTTCAACCCTATCGAAAGAAATTAACATGACAATAGCGTTTTTCCTCTCCTGATTCTATCTAACTTCTTCAACAAAGTGTTTAATATTTGTTTTATTTGGGGGCCACACCCAGCAGTACTCAGGGCTTACTTATGGCTCTGTGCTCTGGGGTCACTCCTGGAAGGGCTCAGGAGACCATGTGTGATGCCAAGGACTGAATCTGAGTCAAATGTGTGCAACGCAAATGCCCTACCCACTGTACTACCACTACAGCCCCCAACAAAGCTTTTAAAGACATCTTATCTGACCTGTCCTTGAAATGTTTAATGATTTTTTTTGTCTGTTCCCATCAACCTGGCACGATTTCAATGATCATAGTCAAGATTCCGAGTATGCTCCTGTAGCATGACAAATCTTAAAGCAGTTGCCTTGTCAACCTTGAAGTCTTATAAAATCACAATTTGGAGGTACAAGGCATGGTGCTATAGAGTCCGGAGGTTCTTGTTCATTTTCAGATGCCCCCAAAATGTTGATTGCTCTCTAACGTGCTAGACACTATGTATTTGAGACTTTGCTGGTGTTGAAAGATCATTGTTACATTTTGGTGTCGTTGGTTTCATTGACTTCAGATAAGATAAAGTTGGGGTTGTCATAACCTCTCTTTGTCCTGGCTCGAGCATCCTTCTCATTGTAAAGGCACATGGCACAGTGTGGCGTTTCCACTTCCACTGTTTTGCTAAAGTTATGGAAGTCTACTCGGTATTTGCCTTCCTTGGTCTTGGAAACAATGGGAGCAAAACGATAGCCCCAAAGCACCTCCTCAGGTACATAGGACGTCCGCACTTGGCAGGTAGCACTGGTTGATTCCACAGTACCATCTAAAAACACCACTAATTCGAAGTCCTGCTGGGCCAGGGTCTCAGCTGCCATGTGGAAGAAGGGGCTATGGTGGTCAATGACGTGGTAAATTGTCAATGGGGAGATGAAGAACAAATTCTCATTCCCAGCGTCAACTACAAAGTTGATGTTGATCTGGTCCAAAATGATGGTCTCACCTTCAGGTGTGACGGTGGTCTTCAGCAGCTTCCCATATATGTGACTGCCGATGAGGAGGCTCTTCCTCAGGTTAGCCACGCGGATGAGGAGGCAAAGCTTCCCACCTCGCTTGCTGATCACAGCATTCTTGCTGAAGGTGATGGTCTTGGCACACTTTTTGGACCTGGAGATCTTGGCTAAAATGGCGCCACACATGAAAGAATTGATGATGACGCCGAGGATTGATTGGAAGATCAGCAGGAAAATGGCAGTGCCGCATTGTTCCGTCACACACCGAAATCCGTACCCAATGGTCACTTGTGTTTCCAGAGAAAAGAGAAAGGCTGACGTCAACCCATTAATGTTTTCCACACAAGGGGTGTGGTTGACAGAAGGGTGGAACTCGGGGAGGTCTTTGTGGATATAGGCAACAGCGTACCACAGAAGGCCAAAAAGGAACCAACTCCCCAGGAAGGCTGTGATGAAGATGGTCATTTTGTACCTCCACTTGAGGTCCAGCACTGTGGTCCAGATGTCCACGAAGAAGATGAACCTCGACTGGGCATCCACATTACCATATTCGATGTTGCACCTCCCATCTTTGGACACCAGCCTCGCTCTTTGTCTAGAGTGTCCCAAAATGTGAGTGATGAACCATTTCCGAAGATGTTTGAACATCTTTTCTGTCAGTACCCTGATCTGAAAATACAGAAAAAGAAGAAAGAAGTTGTGAGCTGCGGTGAACCCGGTGGCTCCCTTTGGGGTTTAACTAGATATGAAAATGTCACGAAGAACCACCTGGGGTGCCCATCACTGGAGGTCACAGATGCGTCTATTTCAAATCCCTCAGTCTACTTCCAATGGAACCTTTCCTTAAGACAGCTGTAACACTTCAGCATAAAGAAGACAAGCAATTAGAGAGGCCAAAATGGAACGTACACATATACAACCTTAGTCACACTCAACATTAAAAGTGCTTGTGACAGTGTCGGTAACTAAGAGTTACTTGGTCTTATTGTTGGGATGGGGAGAACCTCCTAATTGGTGCTCTGAACAATTCTTGGCCAACCCGGTTCCCCAGTTCAATATTGTGATCTCCAGTCCACCTCAGCAACGCGCAGGTTCCTCCAGGAATGCACCCAGTGATGCCCGGGGGGACCATGTGACACTGGGGCTCAAACGCAGGTCAGAAACACGCAAGGTATGTACCCTAACCACTCACTATCCTACCTCTCTGTCCTTGATACGATTCTTAAAATCCGCTTTTCTTTTTTTTTCCTTACCAGGGTTAGCCTTGATGGACAAAAATACCTGTGAACATAGAACGATGGAGCACTGTTCACATATTTGTAGCATATAAAAATAAGTCTACGAGAAAACACTCATCCATAGTCGGCCTAAGTCATCTTAGAGAGTGTTGCTGATATAGCTCTCAAGAGAATCCTGCTCTGATCTAGTTCAACTTTTTCATTCACTGAATGAAGCAACCGAGATTCAGAAAATGGCACAGAATCCTGTTCCAGTTAATGGACTCTGCACAGCACTGCGTCCCAGTTATTTCATTTCTATCAGACCCTAAGAGATATTTTGAATAAGTATCAGTCACTTCCTTTTCTGTTTCAGTGCTTGCCATAGTTTAGAGCAGAGTTCTTCAGTGCTATTTGGACAAGTCCTGCAAGATGACCTCAGGCTTCTCAAAGTATATGCCAGCCCATTCCTACTCCCCTCCAGGGTTTTCCCTGACCCCCCAAGGAATACAGCACGGAGATCAGTGTCTATATCTCAGACTTCCTTTCCACCTCTCAGGGAGCTCTGATTTGAATAAGTCTGTGGAAGAGTAAAACAATGTGCAACTCATTCCTAGACTACATCCCTCTCTGCCAGCTGCCAGCACTGTCTACAGATGTGTACTCTGTAACATGCTGGTGGAATGATTCCACTAATGAAGGAACAAGGGACAAAACATTCACTCTTTCTTAGCAATGACATGTTGCAACTTCCATTTCACAGCCCAGAAAGTGAAGGGGAAACCCCCTAAACAGTCAGCAGGGGTGAAACCCAGAGGTCATAAAACCCTGGACCACCCCCTCTCCTGGGTGTGCCCACCCCACCCCACTCCAAGGTATGTGCCTACCATGGCGTGTAAGTCCTGTGTTATTTTTTTATTGTACGCAAATAGGTTTCTAAAATAGATGGCAAAATCCCCCTTCAAAAAAGAATGTTTACTCGCACAAACTAGGAAGCGAAACCAACTTGTTGATAGATTTTAGACTAAGATGATGGTCTATGGGTTTCCTCTCAACCAGGTGAAAACACAAGAAACCAAAGCCACGATCACTGGGTGATGAGGGGAAGAGAAAACCAGTGTCATGGTGACTGTTTTGAGGACACACAAAGATACCAAAAGAAAGAAAATGAGAGCTGGGAAATAGCTCAAGTGGTTATAGCCATGCAGAGCCTTGAGTTTGATCCCTGGTATGTGATCCCGTCCCCCACGCCCAATGTCTGTGGGGTATGGCCCCTATCTAAAAAAAATAAACAGGGCTGGAGCAATAGCACAGCGGGCAGGGCATTGCACGCAGCCGACCCGGGTTCGATTCCCAGCATCCCATATGGTCCCCTGAGCTCCACCAGGAGTAATTCCTGAGTGCATGAGCATTGCCGGGTATGACCCAAAAAGCAAAAATTAATTAATTTATTTTATTTAATTTGATTAACAAAGGAACTGGCTACCAACAGAACACTCAGAGGGCCAGCCCTTGTCCCACCCAACCCAAGTCCCTCAAAAGTATTAGGGGATGACCCAAGAGGTGCAGCAAGAGAGAATTAGCTGTCACCTCCTTTCCCACTCTCCTCCTCTGCAAGTGCGCGCGCGCACACACACACACACACACACACACACACACACACACACGGCTGAAGCTTGTTTATATGCACAGCTGGCATCTTCCTTTCCTGGATTTGAGGAAGTTCACAAAAACTCCTGCTAGACTGGATCTCCCCTACAGAATAAACTCTGAGGCCAGAATGCACCAATGAATCCACATTCTCTTGGTCATTCCTTGGGAATCTAGAGAGAGCTCTGCACACACGAATTTCCTGCTGGTAGGCAATTGCCTGTTTGGAAATAAAGGTGGTCTCTAGTAGCATGAACGCATACACCCCACCCCCCACCCCAACACAGACTTATCTTGGCGAAGTTGCGATTCTCATGGCTCCTTAATATAATATAATATTATATAATAATATAAAATTATTTTCCAGGGCTTGAAAAGACTGGAACAACAGCCACCAGCCTCTGAAGCTGTCCCTGGGTGGTCTTACTTACCAACATTCTCAACACATTCCCACTGAAGCCCCCATGCCTGGGAAAGCAGAGACAGGAGCTGGTGTCTGTGTACACAGACCGGTTTCTCTAAGATCCAGTCTAAGCTCTGGTCAGTGGGCTGACACTAATTTGTATTAGTTTGAAAATACTTCGTTTGATCGTGGCATTGGGTGGTTTCAATCCAGACAATCAATGGATAGTTGCTTGACCAAGTTCTGTCTTGGATGTAAGTGTGTGTGCGCGCACATGTGCGCGTGTGCGCATGTGTGTGTGTGTATGTATGTATGTATGCATGTATAGCACTGTAGCACTGTCCTCCCGTTGTTCATCGATTTGCTCGAGCGGGCCCAGTAACATCTCCATTGTGAGACTTGTTGTTACTGTTTTTGACATATCGAATACGCCTCGAGGAGCTTGCCAGGCTCTGCCGTGCGGGCAGGATACTCTCCGTAGCTTGCCGGGCTCTCCAAGAGGGACGGAGGAATCAAACCCGGGTCGGCTGCGTGCAAGGCAAACGCCCTACCTGCTGTGTTATCGCTCCAGCCCCAATAGATATAATATCTAGGATATTCTCGTCCTGGGTTTGAGTCACATCCCTTTTACCTGGATAATTTTTTTTTTCTTTAAACCTCACCCGTCATGTCAACACACTGAGATGGCCTCTGGGCATACTGCCTGCTTTACTTCCCTGCTTTGCCACACTCTGTCGCCCTCCAACTCTTTCTCCTAGGGGTGTGCCAACCACTTTACATGATTCTTGATATGCCTGCCCATTTATTGTCTGAAATACACCAAGAAGAGCTCCCGAGATTTCCAAGTGTTGTCCATGGTGCAGGTAAATACGGAGACAGATGTGTAGAGACTCGTGAGACGCAAGTGAACCCACACTGGGAAGAAACAAGACACCGGAACAATCTCCCTTGAGAAGAGGCCCAGTTATGTAAGAAACAGTCTTTCCTGTTGGATTTAGCTGATCCAATCTGATATTTACAGAAGGTACTTTTACCATGTACTGGATTAGGCAATGCGGTTGATTTCTTCATTCAAAGAGTGGGAAGAATCCTACCTAGAGAATGCAAGAGCAGAGGATAAATGCATCCTCTGACCAATCCCGTCATTCACTCACAGCCCATTAGACACAGCTCATCGCCTTCTTTGCTTCGAGAACAGCCTCTAATCTCACCACAGACGACCCACCATGACGTTCTGAACTGCTGGGCGGATAGAGATAGGCCCCAGGGCTTAGGTTATGTAACATGCACCTTTTTTAGGTTGTTTTTTTATTGAAATCAGTAAATCTGAATAGCAAGCAAAGGGGTGCACATTAGCTAATATTTGTCAAAGTATCTGAGTGACTGGGGATTGTATGGTTGCTTTTTATTTAATCCCCCCCTCCCCACAACTTCAGTGTTTTAGCGTTCTCTTTCTGCAAACAGCCCACTTCCAGAGAACAGCCTTTTGGCAAACTTTCTACACATTGAGTGATTGCTTACCATGCAGGGTTTCAAGAACAAGTAGAAGTCTGTTCTCGTGTGCAAGGCACTTGCAGGTCCCACAGAGAAATAAACTGGAAACTCCATCACAACTTCACGGTGCTTTGTCTCATGTCTGAAGGAACGTTCTTCCTAAGAAATCCCTCCCCGGGTCTCCACGCTCTGAAAAAATACTCGAGAGCAGGCAGAAAGGGCCTGGCCTTTGGATGTTCACCTGCAGATTTTCCTGTCAGAGCTCACCAGTGTTGTGCGGAGACCGACAAGCATTGTGCATGAGGTGGGTACTGTGCAACCATTTCCCAAGTGGTCCGAACTGGTGCCATCATGTGCCACAGTGCAGCAACTTCCAGGGGAGGGGGCAGGGGACAGACATGTGCCAGACGGGGGTAGGCACTCCAGGAAACACAGTCCGTGAGGAGCACAGAGGCACCTTCACGACCGAGTTCAAGTGGTACCCAGGGTACCATGTTCGCTATCTGCCAAATGAGGATCCAAAGAGAACTCGCATAAAAGCTATGCCTTGGTCATGCAGGACTGTTCCTCTTGTAGAGACATCTGAACACTGGCAGCCTTGGACCCTGCACTGACCACATGATATTGGAACCATGGGAGGGAGCCAGGCAGGGGCCCAGAGAGAACCATGGGAGAGCTAAAAACAGGCCTTGATGGAGCAATAGTACGGCAGGTAAGGCGTTGGCTTTGTACACGTCTGACTCGGGTTCAATCTCTGGCATCTTATATGGTCCCCCTGAGCACTGCAGGAGTAATTCCGGAGTGCAGACCCAGGAGTAACCCCTAAGCATCATCGGGTGTGACCCCATAAAACAAAACAAGGTCAAGGTCAAGGTAAAGGTAAAGGCCCTCCCGTTGATTGT